GTTCCTTATATGTTTTAGCCTCCAGTCCCCTAATCATCTTTGTTGCTCTACTCTGTACTCTTTCTAGAGTCTCAACATCTTTTTTTACATCGTGGTGACCAAAACTGGATGTAGTATCCCAAGTGTGGCCTTACCAAGGCCTTGTAAAGTGGTATTAACACTTCACGTGATCAATTGCGTGGTCCAAGATTGGTTCTAGCTGGGTGCTTCTTCCCGAGAGGTCCATGACCGGCCCTTACCAGTGTGCGATATTCTAGGTCTTCTCGGAGAAGTCGGTTGTCATTCAGGGTGTACTTGGCCTTCCCAGTGACCCAGTCCACAGGACCCTTGTCTACTTGGTGCTTGATACCCCGGAAGAGCATATACAGGGGCTCCCCAACAGAGTCCTAATGGAGAAACAGAGAAATCCTCATCATCTCTAGAGTTTCCACCTTGCATTCCTGACCTTTTAGCTGTCGATGAGAACTAGGTCAGGGGGGATGACTGAAGCCTTTGGCCAAAGGTTCGGTGCCAAAGTTTAACTTTCATCCGGCAAACAAATCCAGTCTGATGTGTGCATCATTAGTAAGCCGTGCAAACGTATTATAAAATGATGGCTCTTAGGAAAGGCATCACCTGGGTCTGAAACCCTGGAAACAGGGTCTGAAACCCTGTTCATAAGGACATTCAACGTTCAATGCATAAGGTGAGCCAATCTGTTTTAGTCAGCAGCTGGCCTGCTTGCAGCAGTATTAAAAAAAAAATGTCTGGGCTCAGCCTAAGCACTAGTGTGCCAAAAACAGGCATGGTATAGATTCCTATTTCACAGGTCTGACCGTTCCCAGTATGTCATCATGTCACTAATTTAAAAAAAAAAACAACCCACTTGGCTAGAATGTCTTGTTCCTGATCCAGAGCCAACTCCAGACTCTTATTCATCTGCTTTAGCAATATTTAATGCACAAGAGGAAACTGGAGTCTTGGGTGTCTCACTAAGCCTTCTGTACCCCTCCATCAAGATGCTAACAGCTGAGAATTAAGGGGTCCTTGGCGTTATCAGAGCAGAGCTTTATGCAGCTATCTAGCTGAGAAGTACATGATATAGAGGTTGATGGATGGAGTTGATGGATGTCTCACCCTGACAAACGCGTAGAGGCAGATGGACATCCAGTTGGTCAGCAGCTTTTCAACCACAGTTTCTGTCCTGAAAGAGACATTGAAGTTGTTTCAACCTTGACTCCACTGTACATTGTTCTTCAGCGCTAATAAACCTCCCAGTTGGTTTAAAGAAAGCGAAAACAAAGGGCAATAAAAATCAAAACTTAACACTGAGAAGGGAGGTAAATTCAGTTCTCTTTAAAAAAAATAAAATTCTTTGAACATCATGCAGAGTACGCCTGCCTAAATCTCTTGTGAGAGGTGGACACTGTCAGCTTCTTATGGAAGGGATTCCATAATAATAATAATAATAATAATAATAATAATAATAATAATAATAATAATAATAATAATAATAATAATAATAATAATAATAATAATAATAATAATAAATAAATAAAAATAAAAATAAATAAATAAAATAAAATAAAATAAATAAATAAATAAATAAATAAATAAATAAATAAATAAATAAATAAATAAATAAATAAAGTTGGAAGGGACCTTGGAGGTCATGGAGTCCAACCCCCTGCTCAGGCAGGAAACCCTACACCAGGGCTTTTCAACCTTTTCACCCATTGTACCACTTTTAGGATATGGCAACATCCGAGTACCACCAGTCGCCTAGCAAGGTGTCAAAAACTTGATGACCCAAAAAAAAAAGGAAAAAAGTGATAAAGTACAGGTAGTCCTCGACTTACAACGGTTCGCTTAGTGACTGTTCGAAGTTACAATGGCACTGAAAAAAGTGCCCCGCAAGCCACAGCCGAGCAACACACCTGCCTGCCCGCCCGGCCGTGCTCTTCCTCCTGTCCGAGGTTTTCATTATTGTGAGCATTTCTGTTGAGGATTGACAGCAAAGGTGGGGTGGGGGGGGGTGTTTGGTTTTTATTCCCCCCGTCTGCTGGGTGGTTGCAGCAGGTTTTGGTCACTTCACATGACCCTGGGACACTGTGACCGTCATAAATATGAATCAGTTGCCAAGCATCTGAATGTAAATCACAAGACCCTGGAGATGCTGCAACATTCCAGCTGATCGGCGCTTCTTCTGGGCTCAGCAGAAGCACCAG